CCCCCCCCCCCCCCCCCCCCCCAGAATTCCCAGGCTGATTTCAGATAAATATTTCAAGTTTTGGATGCTTATCCAAACCTCCATAGACCCAGAGGTTCACCCACAGGACTGAGTACATGATATATTCATATAAGCAATCATCTCTGCGAAATGTCCCATATTCTCTCAGGTCTAGAAAACATAAATCTTGCATTTCAGAACTCAGATCTCCCAAAGCTTCAAAGAAATGTAAATCCACCATATAGAAATGGGAAACTACTAAGCTACAATTTGCAGCAATATCTTCAAAATGTTAGCAATATATTGGAAAAAAGTAGCTATCCAGTGTTGGTACTCTAATGTGATATCCACAAACTACTGCACTGAAAAGAACGGGGCTCTTCACTACAGAGATGAGTGATTGAGAGGTTCCTTGTTAACCTTCCAAAGGTCTGCTAGGCACTTTATATACACCTCATACTGTGCTCACCACATTTACTTGTGGTCTGCAGTAAGTGCTCTTCACCACCCATGCTGTTTGTAATATCACAAGTATGGACTGGATGGTCACTTGCTTAAAAAGAGTACCTCAAAAGCTTCTAGAACAAATGTATATGTACATTGTAAGCACACTTCAGGCTGAGTGCCTTTGAATTATTGTCCCACCTCTTCAACACATCCCTCCACCCCCAGTTTCAAATACAGCCTTTGTGACAGTGCTTCACAGTTTGAAAATATGACGATCTTATTAATGTCCATTGTTGAGAGTGCTTTGTGTGGCAGAGTTAAAAATGAGATTGTTCATCACTAGGTGGGATAGTAAAGGATTTGGTGTTCTGGGATAAAATGGGGATTTAAAAGCAGATGTATACACCCTTAAGAGTTGTCTATCTTGGTAGGCTGATTTAAAGAGAGGTCTACATTTAGGCTGGGCTGAGCTGTGTGAGAAGCCTGCTCAAAAACACCTTCCTAGCTCTGAATATTTTCCAATTCAGTGAAGTTTAAACCACCACGATGTTTGAAGAATTATTTCTTCAAATATTTATCTGTAAATACACAATCTACTATACAGTTCAATAGCCTTCATGGTATGGCTTTTATGGTTTTTCATAGAGGAAGAGAAAGAATTACTCATTTAGTTATATGCTGGTTTATATTACAAAACGTATAAGGGCCTTAAATTAAAATAAACTCTGGGATTTTTTCTTTGTTCTTATGCACACATTAGGAGAGTTGCTATAAAAAAGGCTGTGCATTTCTAGATATCAGTGCATTTCAAAGCTGAAGGAGTGTCAGAAAAAGAAATCTAAATCAATCATTTGAACTAGCTAGTTTTAAAAAACGATATATTTTTATTATGAATGGCATTTACTGATATAAAATACATTCTTATTGCTTTAGTAGGTTGGGTTTTTTTTTTTTTTTTTGGCTTTATTTTGTCCTGGCTTCTAAAAGGAAATAGGAAGCTAGTGGATTTACATTTTTCTGAGAAATAATTATTATACGAGACAATTATAAACAATACGGCTACGTCTACACTGGCCCCTTTTCCGGAAGGGGCATGTTAATTTCAGCTATCGTAGTAGGGAAATCCGCGGGGAATTTAAATATCCCCCGCGGCATTTAAATAAAAATGTCCGCCGCTTTTTTCCGGCTTTTAGAAAAGCCGGAAAAGAGCGTCTACACTGGCCCCGATCCTCCGGAAAAAAAGCCCTTTTCCGGAGGCTCTTATTCCTACTTTGAAGTTCAAAGTAGGAATAAGAGCCTCCGGAAAAGGGCGCTTTTTCCGGAGGATCGGGGCCAGTGTAGACGCTCTTTTCCGGCTTTTCTAAAAGCCGGAAAAAAGCGGCGGACATTTTTATTTAAATGCCGCGGGGGATATTTAAATCCCCCGCGGATTTCCCTACTACGATAGCTGAAATTAACATGCCCCTTCCGGAAAAGGGGCCAGTGTAGATGAGCCCTATAAGTAAGCCACATAACAGATTAGAGAAAAAACTTGCATCATAAAGTACAGGACTAGAACAATGTTTTTAGATTCATAGAATACTAGGACTGAAAGTGACCTCAAGAGTTCATCGAGTCCAGTCCCCTGCACTCATGGCAGGACCAAATACTGTCTAGACCATCCCTGATAGACATGTATCTAACCTACCCTTAAATATCTCCAGAGATGGAGATTCCACAACCTCCCTGGGCAATTTATTCCAGCGTTTGACTACCCTGAGAGCTAGGAACTTTTTCCTAATGTCCAACCTAAACCTCCTTTGCTGCAGTTTAAGCTCACTGCTTCTTGTTCTAGTCTCAGAGGCAAAGATGAACAAGTTTTTTCCCTCCTCTTTATGACACCCTTTTAGATACCTGAAAACTGCTATCATGTCCCCCCTCAATCTTATCTTTTCTAAACTAAACAGACCAATTCTTTCAGTCTTCTTTCATAGGTCATGTTCTCTAGACCTTTAATCATTCTTGTTGCTCTTCTCTGGACCCTCTCCAATTTCTCCACATCCTTCTTGAAATGCAATGCCCAGAACTGGACACAATACTCCAACTGAGGCATAACTAGTGCAGAGTAGAGAGGAAGAATGACTTCTCGTGTCTTGCTCACAACATACCTGTTAATGCATCCCAGAATCATGTTTGCTTTTTTTGCAACAGCATCACACTGCTGACTCATATTCAGCTTGTGGTCCACTATAACCCCTAGATCCCTTTCTGCCGTACTCCTTCCTAGACAGTCGCTTCAAACTGATCGTTCCTTCCTAAGTGGAGCACTTTACATTTGTCTTTATTAAATTTCATCCTGTTTAGCTCAGACCATTTCTCCAATTTGTCCAGATCATTTTGAATTATGATCCTATCCTCCAGATTAGTCGCAACCTCTCCCAGCTTGGTATCATCTGCAAACTTAATAAGCGTACTTTCTATGCCAATATCTAAATTGTTTATGGAGATATTGAACAGAGCTGATTCCAAAACAGACCCATGAAGAACCCCACTTGTTATACCTTTCCAGCAAGATCATGAACCATTAATAACTGCTTTCTGAGTATGGTTATCCAGCCAGCTATGCACCCACCTTATAGTAGCCCCATCTAAGTTGTATTTGCCTAGTTTATTGATAAGACTATCATGAGAGACCATATCGAATGCCTTACTAAAGTCTAGGTATACTACATCCACTGCTTCTCCCTTATCCACAAGACTCGTTATCCTATCAAAGAAAGCTATCAGATTGGTTTGACATGATTTGTTCTTTACAAATCCATGCTGGCTGTTCCCTATGACCTTGCCACCTTCCAAGTGTTTACAGATGATTTCCTTAATTACTTGCACCATTATCTTCCCTGGCACAGAAGTTAAACTAACTGGTCTGTAATTTCCTGGGTTGTTCTTATTTCCCTTTTTATAAATGGGCACTATATTTGCCCTTTTCCAGTCTTCTGGAATCTTTCCTGTCTCCCACGATTTTCCAAAGATGATAGCTAGAGGCTCAGATACCTCCTCTATCATTTCCTTGAGTATTCTAGGCTGCATTTCGTCAGGCCCTGGTGACTTGCAGGCATCTAACTTTTCTAGGTGATTTTTAACTTGTCTCATTTTGTGCCTTTGCCTTTCTAATCTTGCCCCTGCATTCCCGTGTTGCTTGCCTATATTCATTCTTTGTAATTTGGCCTACATTCCATTTTTTTTATGACTCCTTTTTAATTTTAGACCATGCAAGATCTCGTGGTTTAAGCCAACGTGTTGTTTTGCTGTACATTCTATATTTCCTACACAGTGGAATAGTTTGCTTTTGGGCCTGTAATAATGTCTCTGAAAAACTGCCAACTTTCTTCAATTGTTTTTCCTCTTAGTCTTGTTTACCATGAGACCTTGCCTATTTCGTAATAACTCCCTAATTAGATGAGGGCTAAAAAGGGTGTAGAGACAGGTCTAGAGCTTTGCGAACAGGGGCAGATAAGAGAGAGTTTCGTGAGTGAGTTCTCCAGGTAAAGTAAAAATGATCCGAGATCTTTGAGGTAAGTAGCTGTCTGTAGTGTGTGTATTTATGTATGGGGTGTACTTGCTGGTTGCCTGAAAGAACCTGTGTGCTGAGCTTGTGTTGGTCTATCTTTTTGTTTGGAGATTCATGTGCTGAGCTGTTTGTTTGAAGGACTGTGTGCTGTGGCCGGGAGTTGGAAGCTGTGAGCTTCTTAACGAGGATTTGGAATCTAGAAGGTCAGTAACATCTCACGTTATGAAAGTGAGCATCCTGGGATCTAGGCCTCAAACATTCACTTGAACTTTCTTTATACGCAAAGACAACACCTCTCCGAAGGGGCAACCATCTATCCTATGTACAACGTTTCTATATGTGTGGTAGCGATGTAA